TATTGTTCTGCTTCTAAATAATATTATGAAACTCATCTATCGAAAATATAAGATTTGTCATTGAACTATATGTGACAACACTAAACATATCATGATTAATGATAAACCAAAGTCTTGTATGAACGAAAATAATACATAATGAAACATAAAAAGTTAAAGTTAACAACTAACAATTATATAAACGTAAGAAGTAATACTGAAAATTTAAAAACAACATTATTTAAACTTCAAAACAAATTTATTCGTAACTTAACTTCAAATGTAGTGTCAATCATAAACATTAGTAACAGCCAAATAACACTATATATTAGACTAAATATTTGAGTTAATTATTCATATCATAACTAATTATTATAGGTACACAATAATATATTAATGTGTTTTGGAAACATATTAAAAATTTAGATTGAGTATGATATAAGTTTTTTTGGAATTTTAAAGTTTCGGGTTCTTTCGGATATCCATTTAAGTTCGGGTTCGGTTCGGATAAAATCCATAACCCGAAATACCGTAAAACAAGATCCATTCAGTATTTATGTCGGGTTCGGATCGGTTCGGATTCCTTTTTATCGGGTCGGGTTCGGTTCGGATTTTTGGATTTCGGTTTTTTTGCCCAGCCCTAGTTTAAGGGGGTGATTGATTATTGCTGTAAATGCTTTAGAAAGCCAAAATTTAGTTTAGAACCATATAAATCAACCAATCAAGCTTTCTTTTCTTTAAAAAACCTACAGCAAAAAAAAATCTCTAGGAAAATAAAAAACGGCTGTAGAGAGCTTTGTTTTTAGAGCAAAAAATTAATGTTTTAGAAAGCTACAGCAAAAGAAGCTACAGCAAATAAATTTACCGATTATTTTTTACAGCTAAAAACATAAAGCTACAGCTCTTACCAATCAAGCCTAAGTTAGCATTTATCTTCATCGGCACTGCATCTTTCGTTTTACAAATTGGATGATGAAATCAAGAGAACCTTAGGATTTTAAGGGTTTTCCAGTTTTAGGGGTTCTACGCTTACAAACGTTTCTTTTTCTTTTTCTCTTTGACTGTGGCTGTGAATAATCAAAGCATGAGGTCCAATCCGAGTGAAAGGCTATCACTGATGGAAGGCAATAAACTCGAAATCACTTACACAAATAATCGATTCAAAAAAGTTTGGTACAAAGCCATTATCGAGTTAGAACCACCACAAACCAAACCCAAATCTAGCTCCCAAATATATAATTTTTATTTTCATTAAAATTTTGAATTAATAAACTAAATTTAAGGATATTATTGCCATTAAGAAAATATGTAACCTAATAGGACAACTAAACAATGAGATTAGCCTAAAAGGACAATGTACTAGTTGTTTTGGTCTAAAAACAATTTTCACAAATTATATTTAGTTGATTTTTGTTTCAGATCTAGGTTCTGTTATAAATTCAAAATCATAACCGAACTAAAAGATACAGTAATTCTTAAACTAAAAAGTGTACGGTTTCACGCAGTTAGCCAATTGACTTTAAAAAACTACTCTAATAGAATAATGTGTGTTAGAATGTAATAAATACTTAAAACTGACCTGAAAATAACTCTTCCTTTAATTTTGGAAAATTGTTTTTTAGTGTTTTCCAAATGTTACCTGAAAGATAGGAGCGGTGAGGCGCTCTGTACAAATAGGGGAATCGAGGATATCAGCATCCAGCATCACGGAATCTGTGTTTGAGACCCCATCCATTGTGGAATTCAATCACGTTCCTGAAACACCAAAAGCTAAAGAAGATGAAGAGAAACAAGACCAAGAGAAGATTGATAAACCAGATCATAATCAGAGTCAAAAAAATTGTTCAACCAGGTTTCTTCTCCGGGAGAGTTACCAACTCGTAAAGCTCTAATCTGGACGGAAATTTTTCTGGTTTGTTCTCCTTCTTTGATCCTTCGAGACTCTGATCTGCATTAATAGAACTCTCTTTATTTACTGGTTTTGGAGAAAACATTTCCGGTTTTGGAGAGATCATAGAAGAAGGTTTGCCTGAAACATAATCGACCTTGAAACATTAAGGATGTGCTGGTGCTTCCTCTCTACTCTTTCGTTCTGCTGTGGTGTCGTGACGCAAGAGGTGTGATGTACAATACCATTTTCTGCGAAATATTTTGATAGACACAGAAATTCTGTCCCATTGTCACTGCGAACTACCTGAACGGGATTCCCGAACTGTCGCTGCGCAAAGGAACAGAAGTTTGGCAAGACTGTTTTTACTTCGGAATTCTCCAGCAACAAGTGAACCCAAACAGCTCGTGAACAATCGTCGACTATAGTAAGAAAGTAGACAGATCCACACGAAGCTGGTTCTCTATAAGGTCCCCAGAAGTCCACATGTATTAACGCAAAAGGAACTGAAGCTTTATTATAACTTTCTGAAAACACACCACGAGTTTGCTTTGATTTAAAACAAATATCACATCCTCCAAACTTGTCGGATTGATTTGAAACACCAGAAACAAAAGGTAAAAGCACTTAAAACACCAAAAGATGGATTTCCCAGCCTGCGATGCCACAAAGCCTTGTCCTCTGCCGCCTTAACTCTGAGACCTCGCCGAACTGTAACATCCCGATAAACATACACACCATCCCGTTCTTCACCGGCTCCAATCAGGGTCCTCGTAAAACGGTCCTGCAAAACACACAGTGTATCAGAAAACACAGCAAGACACCCTGTATGTTTCAACAACTTCGCAACAGACAACAATGTGCAGTTCAAATCTGTAACTAAAAGAACATGAGGCAATGTTATTTTGTCTGAAAGCCGCAATACACCACTTCGTGTGGCTTGTACTTGGCTTCCATCGGCAAAGCACACTGGGCATCCCACTACATCATGCATCTCACTAAGTAGTCGAGGATCACCCGTCATGTGGTGTGATGCTTCAGTATCGAGGATAACTTCCCCAGTTTGTTTCTTACCGTTAAGCTTTTTCGAGATCGAGTTTGACTTTTGCTGATCGAGAAGTGCGGTTAGGGAGACCCATTGCTCTGCTGACAGATTTGGAGCTCCGACTCCACTGGAAGCTTGAGCCTGCATTGCATTCGATCGTGCCTGACCACGTCCACGACCTCTACCTCTTCCACGACCACTTCGATCTCCTCCTTGATTCCTTTATGTCCACCAATCAGGAAATCCAATGATTTGCCAACACTCCTTCTTTTCATGGCCTGTTCTCCCACAGTTAGAACAGACAACACCTCCACGACCTCTACCAGCGGCAGCAGCGGTTAGTCCAGTCAAGCTAGCACTATCTCCCGGTGGTGCTTCTGATCTGGTCACAAAACCTACAGCTTCCTGTTTAGCCTCTACTCGAGACGTCAAAATCCTCCTTTCTTCACGCACAACTCGCTGATAGATTGAGTTCAGGTCTGGTAACGGATCCATCCCAATGATATTGGTGCAAACGTTGCCAAACCGTGCCTCGTCAAGTCCCATAAGAAACATATGAACTTTCTCCTCTTCATAATCCTTGCTGATCTTCTCAGAAGCTCCACAAGTACACGTTGGAAGGGGTTTGTAGTTCAGCAGCTCTTCCCACTTTGACGACAAACGCCCAAAATAATCCAAGACAATTGACCCATCTTGTGTACAAGCCACCAACTCTGCCTTAAGTTGATGAACCCGGACGGCGTTTCCAATTGAAAATCTTCTCTTCAAATCAGTCCACATCTTGAAAGCATCTGGTGTGAATGTCACGGTTGAGCGCACCGTTGGTGAGATCGAAGCACGTATCCACCCCACAATCATGGAGTTGACTGTCTTCCACATCTCGGCCTCTGTCGCGTTCTCCTTCTCATCAGGCATTAATAAGGTCCTGTTGATAAAACCGATTTTGCGCTTAGCACGAAGCGCGTTCTCCAATTCTGATGCCCACTCGGCATAGTTCTCACCAGTCAACGTGACCGGCGTTATTGACACTCCTGGATTGTCGGACGGCGACAGGTAATAAAGAGTTGTGGCCGCACTGTTAACGTTGTTACTGCTACCTGCAGCTGTAACTGCGATTGCACTCTCGTCTTTTGTCATATCTCACAATCTCTCTTCTATTATTTTTTTTTTCCAGATCTTTTACACAAGCTCTGATACCATGTAAACTTAGAGAGAATGTGTTTGCGGAAATCTGAGTTGTTCTATTGACATCGTAGAGTACATATATACGTGATTACAATATCTTCATCATAAGATCTGACTATATCTACAACTACCAAGCCTTATCAATAACACATACGTACTTATCTAGAACCGGTTTGGTCGACCAACCTAAACCACCTAAACCACTCTTAACACATCTTTTGTATATAATTGATTTTTGATTTGTGTATTTTGTTGCATACAGCCAATGGAATCGCCTTTAACTCAAGGATCGGTAGATGAGATGGATGACTCTGGTAATACATTCTCTCCAGTGTCTAACAGTCCACCTGTAACCCCATCTCCGAGCATAACTGCAACACCGCTGATACATACAGGAGAGAATGCAAAGTTTTTGCTTCACTTGTTCACTATAACATTGTCATCATTCTCACTTTATTCCACATTATCATCATTTTTTGTATTTTGTATTTTTCCTGTTTTATGTTTTTTTTTTATCTCTGTAGCTGCAAATGGAATCACCTTTAAGTCAAGGATCAGTAAATGAGATGGATGAATCTGGTAATACATTCTCTCCAGTATCAGTTTCTCTGGACCCCTTTTCAATTTATGTATCATCTTATAATGTCACACTTTTCCCAGAAAATGAATCTGGTTCATCCATAACCCCATCTCCGCCCATAACTGCAACACCATTGATACAAACCCCAGAAAATGTAAAGTTAATCCTTCACTTTTCAACATTATCATCATTCTCACTTTCTTGGTGCTTTGTTCTCCGTGGCTTATTGTAATGATTGTTCAAATCTTTGGGGATCTTCTTAAACTCTAACGCAGGGAACTAGCAAAGATAACAATCGGAAGAGGAAGAGAGAACAACTTTTAATGTCTATTGATATTGATGAGGAAAATGAAGCAAAGGATATAACAATGGTTTTACCCTTTGAGAAGAAGTTGCCAATTTGGAAGACAGTTGAATCAATGGAAGTATTCAAAACATTCCCACAAAGTCCTCATTTCACTCCATTGCTGGAGATTAGAGAAGACGCCCGTGAAATGTCTGCGGTTGGTATGATGCTAACCTTCTCAGGATTACTTGAAGAAGTCAAAGCTCTGAAACTCAACAATCCCATAAGATCACTAAACAGCCTCAGTGCTTCCTTTGCCGAGTTGGAGAAGCATGGGTTCGATGTAAAAGTACCTACGTTGCGGATCAGTAAGCTGTTGTCTCTCATAGATAGGCAAGCAAAGAAAATGGAGGAGCTCAAAGGTGCTGAGAAAGTGACTGCAGAGAAAGAGAGAAACAAGGTTGAGAACGAACGCAAGATTCTGGAGCTGAAAAAGCTGAATGAAGAGGCAGACAAAGAGTTAACACAGAGTAAGTCATGTGAAGCAAAGATTGGCCAACAGCTTGAAGATGTGAAGCTTCAGTTTCACACAACTGCGTCAGCTCCATGGTAAAATGGTAAGCTAAGCTCTATTTTGCAAATAAACAAAAAAAAGCTAGATTATATGTAATTAGGAAGACTTAGTTTTTCCCCTGTGGCCTCAGGGAGTCACGGTTGATGTTTAGGTTAGACTTTAGACTAGTAATTAAAAAACACTGAAATATATGGGAAAAGAGCAGCAAGAAACTCATCAAGTACCCAATATATGATTAACTAAAACAAAGAGTAAAAATTAGACTAATATATTTATTAAAGATGGATAGGATAACTATAAAAAGAAAGATAATTAGTAGAGGTATTTGAATTTCACTAGAGGAAAGGTAACATAAAAAAAAATAAAAAATAAAAAATGAGTAGAGGTATTTAGCACCATAAAACTTGCATGATCCCACATGGCGCTTCTATCATCTTCATTGACCCCAACCAGTATTTGCAGCTCTTTTCTCGTCGTGGGAAAATTTACAAGAACCACCACGAGTACACTCTCCTCTCTGAAAAGCTCTGCATACACCGCGTGCCTCTCTGTCCTCTTCATCCTCCTCTTCATGCTTCTTGTATTCCCTACAATGGTCCACCTTGATGGTCCTCCCCAACACCTGAGCTCCATTCAGATTATCAACAGCGAGAATGGTACTTCTTTGATCTTCATACGCAAGAAAAGCTAAACCCTTTGATTTTCCAGTGCCCTTGTCTCGGATAAGGTTGACATCAACGACTTCACCATATTGTGTGAAAACTGTGTTGGTTAATTGGGTTGTAACCCAGAAATTTGTGAATTATATACTTGGATAATGATTGAATCGCGCACGAGGTCACTTTCTTTAAAGAGTATTAATTTCGACCCTATTCCAAACTTTTGGGTTATACGAAATTCCTTTGTAGGATAAGACAATCAAAGTCTCACTCTTGTTCTAGGTTAAGATACAAGAGAAACAAAAAGAAGTTTTAGTGTTTATATGTGTTCTACAAGTTACCAAAAGTTGCAAGGTTTCATTTATATAGTTGTAATTATTCATAAACAATTGCAATGGTTCAAATAAACACTTGTACCCTTTCACATTCACTTAAATATATAACAATCATCCCCCATTTAAGTGTATTCATAGATTCATTAAATAAATAATACATATATCAAACTCATGCATAAATGAAAATGTTCGAAGAATTGAATTTTCATCTTAGTGTGTTACACATTCCAAATATCCGAGAATCAGGATGTCCTACGGATTGAATCCCTCAACCCATTTTGAACACATGAAGATAATACACACACGTGTTTCCACACTACTCTAAATGTTATACTTGACACTATTATAAGCCATGTGTCCCTATCCATTCATGAGCGCATACAAAGCCAAGTCTCAGCTTATTGAAGCGGCATCACTTTACACACATATAGGTAATTACTTTCAGTCATGCACCTGCAAATTCATTTTTTCAAAGTATTTATTAAGAATATATTTCAACCTAACTCTTCTTACAGGTCCAAGCACATACTTTGGGATTAAAAAAAAAAATGCTTCAATCTTTAAGTGTAGGCTTTCCACATTGAATTCAGCCCCTAACGTTGTATTAGAGGGGAATTGGGTATCCCACCATTAAAGATTTCAAATGGACTTTAAACCCATCCCTTTCACAGACTTAATCACTAAGTCCCTAGCTAATCCTTTCGTCAAATGATCAGCTAAATTTTGTTGAGACCGAACAAACTCTATTGTTATCACCCCATGAGTGATCAGCTCACGTACTGCGCTATGTCTAACGCCCAGGTGTCTAGACTTACCATTATACACTTGGCTATAGGCCTTAGCCAAGGTAGCTTGACTATCACAATGGATAGAAATTGGTGATACTGGTTTCGGCCACAATGGAATTTCGTACACTAAATTTCTTAGCCACTCTGCCTCTTTACCGGCCGCTGCTAATGCTACGAATTTCGATTCCATAGTCGAACTTGTAATGCAAGTTTGCTTCTTAGAAGCCCATGAAATGGCACCTCCCCCAAGCAAAAACACCCAACCACTTGTAGAAGAATTATCTTCTATGTTGGTAATCCAACTTGCATCTGAATACCCTTCTAACACCGAAGGAAATCCGACATATGACAAACCATAATTAATGGTTCCTTTCATTTACTTGGGCACCCTTTTTAAGGCTTGCCAATGTTGAGTACTAAGATTACTAGTGTATCTACTCAACTTTCCTACAGCGTAAGCTATATCTGGCCTAGTGCTTGTCATGGCATACATTAAGCAGCCAATCACTTGAGAATATTCGAGTTGTGATACTGCTTGTCATGTATTAGGCATAAGTTTCAAACTCGGATCCATGGGGAGTGATTATTGGAGAACAATTCTCATAATTGAACTTCTTAAGAATTTTCTCAATGTAATGAGATTGTGTTAAAGATAGTCCTTTGTTTTCACGTTTGATTCTAATTCCAAGAATCACATCTGCCTCTCCGATGTCTTTCATTTCAAAATTTGATGACAAAAATGCTTTTGTAAGCTCTACTTGTCTAAGGTCAGTACCAAAGATCAACATGTCATCAACATACAAACAAATGATTACTCCGTTACCGGATTCATCAAATTTGCTGTGTAAACACTTATCCGATTGGTTTAACCTGAAACCACTCGATAAGACAATCTCATCAAATCTTTGATGCCACTGCTTAGGTGCTTGCTTTAGCCCATACAATGATTTGATCAACTTACACACCTTATGCTCATTGCCAGGCATAACAAAACCTTCAGGTTGCTTCATATACACCTCTTCTTCCAAAATACCATTTAAGAACGCCGTCTTAACATCCATTTGGTGAACCACAAGGTTATTAATTGNACACCTCTTCTTCCAAAATACCATTTAAGAACGCCGTCTTAACATCCATTTGGTGAACCACAAGGTTATTAATTGCTGCCAAAGCTATTAATAATCTTATAGAAGAGATCCTAGCAACTGGAGCATATGTATCGAAATAATCAATACCTTCCCTTTGTTTAAAGCCTTGAATAACCAATCGAGCTTTAAACTTGTCGATTGTTCCATCAACTTTCATCTTTCTTTTGAAAATCCATTTGCAGCTTAAAGGTTTGCAACCGGGTGGGAGATCTGATAAGATCCAAGTATTATTTCCTATGATGGAGTCCATCTCATCATTTATTGCTTCTTTCCAAAAAGCAACATCTTGAGACTTCATAGCCTCACTATAAGTTCTCGGATCATTATCAATATGATAACAATATGAGTATTGGAAATCAATCTCATCTCTTGATCCTTCCACTAAATATATATGAAAATCAGGACCAAATGATTTTTCAATCCTTCCTCACTTGCTCCTACGAAGCATAGGTGACACATTAGGAGGCACAAAAGTTTCCTCTCCTTTATTAGTTCTACTTGAATTTGAAACTAAAGTTTTTGGCATAGGTATAGATGAAAACCGAGTTTCATCAAATATTGCATCTCTTGATTCTATTACAGTGTGAACTGCTATTGAATCATTAGGTTCTATTACATAAAACCTATAAGCCTTGGAATGCTCTGCATATCCAATAAAGATACAATCAATACCTCTCTCTCTCCCAAAGTTTTAATTTTGGGTTGGGGTAGTCTCACTACAGCCCTACATCCCCACACTCGAAAATAATTCAAGTTGACTTTTTTCTTATACCAAAGTTCATAAGGGGTAAGTTTGTTCCTTTTATTAGGAACTCTATTTAACAAATAGCAAGCCGTTAACATAGCTTCTCCCCAAAACCCGTCACTCAATCCCGAGTAGGATAACACGGAATTAACCATTTCTTTTAGGATTCTATTTTTCCTTTCTAATACACCATTTTGTTGTGGTGTATATGGAGCTGTAGTTTCATGTATAATGCCTACAGACTGAAAATATACCGGATCATAATACGCTCCACCTCTATCAGTGCGTAATTTCTTAATCAAGCCATTTTGTTCTAATTCAACCTCAGTTTTATAAATCTTAAATTTATCTAAGGCCTCATCTTTAGTATTTAATAAATACACATAACAGAAACGAGAATAATCATCTATGAATGTAGCAAAATATTTCTTGTTTCCTAAAGATGGTGTAGCATGCAAATCACATAGATCACTATGTATAAGTCCTAGCACTACTGAATTTCTTTTAATGCCTTTAAATGGTTGTCTAATTATTTTTGTTAGCATGCAAGTACTACATTTTTCTAAATCTATATCAAAAGTAGGAATCAACCCTTCTTTAGACATATTAATCATACGATTATAATGAACATGACGTAATCTAGCATGCCATAGATAACTATCATTTTTGCTAGAACTTTTCATACAAACAGAATTGATAATTTTATTAACTTTATTAATATTAAGCATAAACATTCCATTACAGAAATATCCAAATCCAACAAACACACCACATTTTGATAATATATATTTATCGGATTCATACACTTGTTTAAAACCACACTTATTTAAAACACTACCAGAGACTAAATTTTTCCTAATTCCGGGTACATGAAGTACATCCTTGAGATCAAGGGTTTTTCCAGAACTAAACTCTAACACCACATTTCCACGGCCTAGGATAGGGGCAGTTGACTCGTTTCCCATATGAAGTACGGATCCATCTTGAACTTGCTCATATGTAATGAACCATTCTCGATCTCTGCAAACATGTGTTGTTGCGCCCGAGTCAATCCACCATGCCACTTCATCATCCTGCACATAAAATGCCTCATAAATTTTTGATACATAATTCTCATTAGAATATGGTTTAAAATCAGAAATTTGACCTTGATGAGTGGATGGACCTTGGTCCTTAGACCCTTGTCCCAAATGGTTCTGTCCCGTTTTATTCTTATCCTTTCCTGCTCGGCAATCACGACTTAAGTGACCCGGCTTGTTACAATTCCAACAAATGCTCTTAAACTTTTTGTTAGATCCATTGTAAGTGTTGCTATTAGAGGAGCGTTTCCTCCAATTTTTCTTCTTAGAACTCACACCTTCCTCCATCATATTGACGGAAGAAGTACCAGCCTCATTATTTTTGGGTTTTTCTCCCTCTTACGCCCTTAGAGATTCCTCTATGCGCAAATGGCTGCCAAGTTGTACAAGAGACAACTCTTCCTTTTTGTGTTTTAACATGTGTTTAAAATCTTTCCATGTATGTGGTAACTTATCGATGATACTCGATACTGAGATGGATTCATCCATCATCATGTTGTGTTGGGAAAATTGACCTAGTATACGAAGCAATTCATTGTATTGCTCCATAACTGGCTTAGAATCAGACATCTTGTAATTATTAAAATTACTAACAAGGAACTTCTTACTAGAAACATCCTCAGCCATGTACTTTGATTCTAATGCATCCCACAACTCTTTTGCGGATTCGACATTCTGATAAACATCAAAAAGAGGATCTGACATACCGTTGAGAATATGGCCACGGCATATGTAATCATCATTTTCCCATTTAAGTTGCTTCCTTGTCTCATCCAAAGACTCATTTTCAACATCCTCCGGCACAGTAGGCATAGGCAT